GAGCCTACCATCACATGGCCTGTCAGGTGACCTCCTGTTCCCCAAGATAACAAAGTCCCTGGGAAGCAGCGCATTCAGTTTAACTTATGTTGTAACAAATTGTATGAACACCCAAAAAGACCACAAAAAGTAACTACTACTCACCAAACGGTTGAACAAGTTGCTTAGCAATTATAGCGATTGGAGTCCTCCAGAACCAGAGTACCAAGATTAGATATACCACAACCTAGAGACAAGGTTCTTATATCACATCTCAACCGAAGGAACAAAACATTGAGAAAAAGAAAAAACTTTAGCAGATCACTTAAGCTTATACCTTTGAGACAAGCAGAACCTTTCCATACATATCGTATGACATTTGGATTTCTTTTTTATGCTGCTCCAGGTCTGAATTTCATTAACAGATAGATACACACCATTACAAGACCATGATGATGATGCAATGCTCTCATAGGTACGGTATATCTGCTACAAACTGTATTCTTTTGCAAAGCTAACTGTAACTGTTCCATTGAATTTTCGGAACCTCTAGAAACTGTATCCTGATTCCTTACACTAAGCAATCAATCAATGCAGAGCATAAAAAAAATGTATGGATACTCACATTGTGCAAGTTCTTTTTCTTTGGTAGCTGCCGACCTCCTAAGTTTTGCTGCCTGTGCAAATGTGGCTGGCCTGCGAGTAAGAACCATAGATAAAATCACTACTGAACAACAAAACTTATAGAGGAAGAAGAACACATCAATGTGAGAAACTTTGAAAGAAAAACTTGACGAGAAACGGCTTACTGAGACAATGCACTGGCCTCCCTCAAGAGGTGCTTAATTTCGGATCGAAGCTCAGCTTCCCTCGTATTCCTCGACCCCTTCTGGAGAAATTGCATTGAAATCAGAAGAAAAGGGAGGATTGTTTCAGGTAGATAGATGTTGGAAATTACCTTCTTCAATTGGTCGAGCCACTTAGATAGCAACTGGAAGACGACGACGAGGAAGAAGGTCAGAGGAGCGCCCAGGAAGCCGCCGCGATATTCTATCAGCTTCTCTCCTTCCATCTCTTCCCTTCTACTTTCGCAATTTTATAGCAAATCCGCTAAACCCAAA